GGTGGTGGTGGTGGTGGTGGTGGTGGTGGTGGTGGTGGTGGTGGTGGTGGTGGTGGTGGTTGTGGTGGTGGTAGTGATGGTGGGCGCGCTGTTACCAGTGAAAAGGAAGATGCACGCATCGCAATGAGAAAGGCACTTTTGTGAACTCAACCAAACCGTTCCTACCGCTTCTTCTTCCTGGACATCCTACTTTGGCCTGAGCGGGCTTGACAGGGACGAAAGGTGTGAAGGCGCATGTCCTATTTTTCTTCTTACAGGAAAAACCAATCTGACGATTCGATGATTTCGCTTTTGTGAATGTGCTGTACAAGATGCTGTTGTGGGTACCAGCATGCGGTCTTGCACCACGCCGGGGCCACGGAATTAATCCTGGCCCGATTACGCTTCCCTGATACTCGACGTGAAGAAAAACAATAGGAGAGGACGTGGACACAATCGCTTACTTCAGGGCTCAACCACGTTGGTGTCGTAGGTGGCGTTTGCATATGTGTATTTATACCTCAGATGTGTGAGTCATAGATCTAGGTATGAGGATAATCCAGGATAAATGGTCGTGAGAATGAGGAGGGAGTTGAGGATCCGCGCGGCTGGCGACATGCTGCGGAAAGGGGGAACCCTGTGTTGGAGGCTGGAGTGATCGGATTAAGGAGTGTGTGTGTAAACACGACTCACAACAACCGTTTTGGTTAGTAATTGGATTTGGCATTTGCCCAGCGGTGATTTAACTTGCGGACACGCAAACAAACATCTTTGCCTTCCGTCGACTTGGTAAAAAATACCGTCAGAACATTGTACTAAAGCACTTAATTTCAAACCGATTGCTAATTGACACGTGCACATTAGCAAGACTGACTGTGTTACACAGTAGAGACGCTGTATTTGCCTACCCGGAAGCATTGCCCGTTGAAAAATGTAAATCCGGGCGCGCTGCAGTCGACGACGGGGTCGTGAATGAAGCCGGTCTCGTTTGAGAGAACGGAATGCAGACCGTTTGGCTGGACAAGGCAACTCGGCGTGTCAACATTTTCTGTCACTTCTTCGGGCTGGTCACTGCTGGTCAAAACTGCCTGACAGAGGTAGCCCAGATCGAGGGTGCAGCGCAGAGGGTACCACGTGCCTACAATTAAAGACTACTTTTTAATTGCTAGTAACAATGACTTTTCGGACAAAACCACCTTGTTGCAACTATTCAACGGCAGCTTCGAAACACAGACACACACAGGCGATTAAGGCCAAACCCACCCGATGGGAGGTGCAACGCGATGCAGGAACCGTGGTCGAAGAAATATCCAGGACTGTCTGCAAAGAAGGAACGCTGCTGTCGAATTTGATCTTCGTAGAAGGCAGTGTCGCCGTCAGAACCATCGGTCCACTTCCTCCAGAAGAGTTTGCTCTCCGTCCTGGAGAGGCCAATCCAAACCAGGTCTGAGGTGTGAATCATGTGGGCTGGCAATTTGCTGGCGTTATCAAGCGCCTTGAAATCACGAAAAAGGAATTAATGGTAAATTTCGAGCTTACCCACCAGCTTCCAAAAGACTGTTAAACGATAAATTTGAGATGATCGTATTAGCCTACAATTAAATTCAAGTCTTAATGATGCCCTCTCGTGTTTTAAACCAGCGCGATCACGTTTGTTTTGATGCGTGCTGATTTAATTACACTCTTCTACGATGTTAATGCCACAAAAGAGGACAAATTTGCTGTTGAAATCCACTTGTAACATCATTTTATTTCTGGTTTGCTAAAAAAACATTTCCGCCTTGCACAGTGGTGGTGATTACTATTGTCAAAACTTGAAGCAACATTACCGTTATTGACGTTATTAACGTTTTCTCATTAAAGGTTCAACTGTCGATAACGTCTGCGTTTGAAGACTGATGTCAAAATGTTGCAACAGAGCAACATATATAACTCATTTTGCATATTATCATCGCTCCTTGGCTATTAAGATCCGTTGTAATTTAAAACATTAACATCGGTGAGACGGATTTTTGCAGCCAATCAAATTCCAGACCAGTCATTGTTTTAGATAGTCTGGCTTAGAAAGCGAACATTCAATAACTGTCGGTAGATTTTTAAAAAAAAGTGCGATCTACAGCGCAATGATGCGAAAATGACTGAACAAGGTTTGAAGAGAAAAAAATTGGCCAGCCAATCAACTATCAGCTGAACACGTGAACTTTGCGCAGAGAGAAAATAGACCAATTTCATTGGAGATTAAAGGTGGATCAAATCAGAAACAGAGGCAGCTTCATCAGGCCACAAGTTGTTCCGATTAGTGAAGTATTTTTCTCATTCAAACTATCTTTCTACAACAGCTACAACGACTGAAATTGGAAAATATTTTTTTCTTCAAACCAACCTCATTTAACGCAAAGAGAAAAAAAGCATGTCAACAAGAATGAAGAATGCAATCAACAAATGAAAAAGTGACATTTCATGCAAGTGTCAAGACACGCTATCACTACAGTCGATTCAAAATTTTGCAAAATCGTGATATCTTTTTTGCAAAATCTTCAACAAGAAGCCTTCGTTTAGTTTTAAGGGTGCGGCAAACCTCATTAACCCATAAAACACAAAAGATGTTAAGAGAACAAGAGGGAACCATGAACCGACCCTAGCCACCATCTTCCTACTATTATTCGCATTGGGTGAAAAAATGAATTTGCAGAATCGGCAAAAGGCGACTGCTCACATAGATGCCCGTTTCGATGCCTCTTTGCCGCAGAACGGAGAGGACCTCGTCTGAGATCGAGGCGATGGGCAGACTGGCCAGGTGGCCGACCCACCGGCTGGACGCGTCGCCGGCCGCCGAAACCTGCCTGCAGGTCCTCTCCGCCGTCCTCCAGTCGTGGGTGTGGGATCGGACCCCACCAAGAACCACTCGGTAACACGTTACTGGCGATGGGTCCTCCTTTGGCAGGCGCAGAAAGTAGCCCTCTGGGCATGAGATTCTGTTTATTTAAAATGCACAATTCAAATCGCTAAACAAACACAAGAAATCGACTCCGGTTAAGAGTAATTACCAATTTTGAGGAGGCAAACACAAAAATGGAAGGAATCCATAAGCCAGTTAGGGTTTTGCAATGAAATCTTACGTAGTGTCGGGTGCAAATGTGTTCTGTTCTACTGATGCTGGTAATGTGGGTTCCAGTGGCGTGGGAGCACTGCACAGCACAAATTCCTGCTTCTCGCACTCGCTAAAAACCCACCAGCCTGTGCGCGGCTCCATTGCGAGGCACAAGCCGTTTCGGGAAACGTCCTTTTGCCAGAGAGCAGGCTTCAAACGATTAAAACCAGTCCCCACCGATCCGTCTGACCTACAGGGCAAAATGACACGCATTCATCACACCAACTGCGGGTGTCGGCAGATGCGCGGTAGAGTGTTAAGCATACCAGGTAATGCTCAGTGGAGAAGCAGTGTTCACCGTGCCTCCAATTAGTACTTTTTCGTCTAAAGTGAAGAAGAAACAAAATGTACTCAGCATGATTGCAGTTAGCCCGTGGCCGAGGATCATCAACTCATAAAAGAGGGTGCACTTTGCGTCATCAACGGTCAAAAGTGTTTCCATTTTAATAATCAGATTAACGAAGAGGCCGAAAAGTATTCCTAAGTATTCCACTAAGATCCCAGGCGATCATTAGTATGACACTTTATGAATAAAAACCTTTTAATGAGGCAGGACAAAACCTTGTTCGAGCTTCCTCGCCGACTGACTCGATGCTAACTATCAACAAGAGATGCCGTGCAATACAAGGAACAAGCGAAGGACGATATTTTTCGAAAACCCAATCTGTAAAAGTCAAAGCACCTTGAACAAAATTTGAGCTGATCCGAGGGTAGAACGCTTACCTGAATAGTCACTAGAGGCGATGAGCCAGGCAGCGAACGCCTGTTGCTCCGGTGTCTTCAAGTTGGCTGGACCGGAGATGTTTCCACAGCCACTCAACACAGCGAAACACTCTTCTCCGAACTGGTACCAGTTGTCATCGCCACATGCCCGCCTCGGTGTCTCTGTGATGGCACAAAAAGCTGTCACATTCCAGGCGCCAGCCTCCGTGCAAGGAACAGCAACGAAGGGATCCTTGGATGAAGATGGTGCAACGTCCATTTGAAGGCAGAAGGTCTCAGAGTGGTTGCTTGTGGATTGGAAAAACGAGAGCGGCAACGACCGATGAATGGCACCAGTAAGCCAGGGTGTCAGCACGAGTCCACGAGCAAACTCCAGGTGGCCCTGCAAAAAATCGACAATGTGTGCTAGTCTTTTAATAGTTACGGCGAGGTCAAAGAAGAAGACGCTTGTTAGAATCCACAAGGTCATCATTTCAAGCCTCAACAACGATATCGGCTTGTCAACTGGGGAGAACCAGTGTTGACTCAGATCTATTGGATCTTAAGTTGCTGAAGTTTCCACGATGGTCTACAAATTGAATTTTATTGGACTAAAAAACTTTGAAAACACCCCTTTATCAATTTTAAGGGATACATTGCTAATATAAAGTGCAGTTTAGGAGCGTATATGGGGTACTCGGATCTTGTGACGATTGACGACGTCTTGACTGTCGCTCAAGTAAAGCTATCCTTGCATAAATCAGTTTGCTTGGCTTCTTTGGTTAAGGAGATGGATCCAAGCGTTTCAAATAGGAATTTTTACAATTCACGATTTCTTGAAAGCGTTTTACCTGTTGCACGGTCAGAAGAGTCAGTTACCTTTAAAGCTGCGGTCTACATGTGACCTGAAATGCCGTTCTCGCCTTCCTCTGCTTAAAGTCTACAAAAAAGTGCTATGTGTATCCAATGCTGACTCCTAAGTACTTGACAAAAATATCCATTCATGAAGTGGGTACCTGTTTTGTAGCATTTCTGCTCAAGCATTTATCATATTTCATCAAAACGACAAAATTGGATGTACAACTGACAGAAGGTTTAAGCAACATCGGGAATAGCGCAGCTCAGGTCGGCATAGCGCCTTGATTAGGGTTAGACTTGGTTAACCAACTGCACTAACCTGGGAAAATTCAATTTCGATTCCGAGCCAGACACGTTTGACGCTTGACACCGAGGCGAGCCTCGCTCGCAGGAATGCCAATTCTAAGGGGTTCCTGGGAAGGGCTACTTCGGCGTCTCCACAGGCTGCCTTTGCCTCGAAGTACGTTCGCTTCGGAGCCTCCGGTAGGAGACGGTAGCAGGTCCCTAAATAGCAGCTCTGGTCGTCGCTGGCGGCACTGAGCGGACCTGGAGACGCCGCGTCGTTTTCGAGGGTGCCTTGAGGCGGCTGGGAGGGGCGGTGCGTGGCCAGCTGGCAGGCAAAGCCCAACCGGGTGCGCTCGCAGTCGGCCCGCTCCCAGACGCCGACCTGGAGACTCGCGGTGGACAGGAAGACGCAAAGATTATCTGAGGCGTTCTGCGTCTGCAAAACAAGGAGAGGACAAACTACACATTGAGGCGTTTTTAAAAGCAAGAATTAAAGAGACTAGTGTTGTTAAAGCTTCTGCAGGCCCGCCTAATTCCTTCCGAGGAGGCATTTATTATGGGGATGAGGTTTTGTTCTTGGACTTATAAGCTAACCATAAGCTAAAGGCTATTTCCGGAAGCAAACACTCAAATAAGCAGGTAGGTACGTTAAAGCATGTTAGGAGTTACGTGGTTTGAATGGCCATTCAGTATGATGCGTTACTAATCATTAGGTTGTGTAAGGTCGGCCTCAGCAGGACTGATTTTGGTTTTCTACACCGGTAAGTGATTTAACTTGTTGTCCTCGTGCACCGCTCCAATTCACAAATCGAAATGAAAAAGTAGAAAAAATAGCCTGCACCGGGTGTTAAGACAATGTAGTTGAGATCATGTTTGAAGTTGTAAGGAGTTTTTGCTCGAATTCCAGTCAAAACATCTACCTAAGACACAATTTAGTCTAGTCAGATAATTGGAGTGGAGATAGACGCTTGGAGCTTTTAAACTGACTCATTTTTATTATAAAATAACCCACGAGAAGTAGAAGAAATCTGGCGGAACATCAATTCACTAGGAGTATTTTTGACAACCTCATTCGACTTATCGGAGCTAAAAGTGTGAATAACTTTTCCTTAACAAAATCAGATCGGTTATCATAAAAAACCGATTCGTTTCCAACGCTGACACCGATTTGTGAACACATCCACAAATTAAAATGGACAGTGATGTAAGCTAGATACAATAACCTTGTGTACCTAAATATATATTACCGAAATAAACCAAGTAAATTGGGGTATTCATGAAAATGCTTCAGAATAACGTACTGAACACAGTCTGGGATTGCCCACGTTCAAGCCTCGCATACTATGTCGGAATCTCGATTGTGTACAGGCAACGCTTTGTCAAAACCAACTCACGGGAAGCAGCACTTGGTTACTTCATGCTGCCATCTTCTGTTGCCCAACCTCAGGTGACCTCTCAAATTAGCAGCAGCAGCAGCAGCAGCGGCAGTTCACTTGCAGTGTTTATTTGGCAAAACGGCATTTCAGCGCA